TCGAAGAAAGCATCTGGGATTCCATCGATCTCATCTTCCCTATCCCTAACCCTAATTTGCGATTTTAGCTTCCACCACAGTGACGCGGCTATAGCGAAGGATTTGGATGACTGTGAGTTTTGGCTTTCACCACAATTTCTCGCTAATGATGACCTCAAGAAGGGTGAGCCCGGTGCTGGGTTTTTGTACGGTGGGTTTCCGACGGGGGAGCTTGGGATTTGCTTTTTGTTGCCGCCGCCGCCTACGATATTTTGAGAATTGTCGGGGCGTTTCGCGTAGTGTTTGTAGAGGTAAAATCCGATAGCAGATAACACTCCCAAGGTGACCATCCCAACCGATAACGCAATTGCCACTTTCTTGACCGGCCGCGCTGCGAGGCGATTGGGTTCGACACTGGTGACTCATTCTGCTAAGCTGGCGGCGGCAGCTGTGGGTTCTGATCTGGACTCTGCTCACCGAGAACTTCCGGGACAAAGGGCTGCTCAGGGCTAGGCAATACAGGCTCAGCAAGCAGGCGGCGGACGTGGCGGAGGGGCCGAGTTTGTTCCTGCCGGCGGCTTTGAACCCATCGGAAACAGCGGCTGATGCAGAATTCTTTGCTATTTTCCGCCCCTGTATTGTATTCCGGCGTGAAAAATGTTGTGTCAACAACAAAAGACACAGAGTCAACAAATGGTGAAGGGAAAGACTCTAATGCCCTCAAATTCGAGACTGAAAGGACTATTTTGCCCTCAAAAGAAATGGCGACTTAACCCTAAACAGACGGAGGACTATATCGGTCATAAATTGAATAGTTGATGACTTGATTGGTCATGAAAAAAAAAAAGTCGAGGACCAAGTCGGTACTTTCGCTATATTTGACGGACCATTTTGGCAATTAACTCGTTCACACAACTATGTGGATTATACATAGAGTACATTATTTTTTTTTTTTTTATGTATAAGATACATTTTTCTTTATACGTAATGCTCATTATTTAATTTGAATGTGTACAAAATAATTTGAAAACAGCTCGAGGGTTAATGATTTAAATGCATCATGTTCACTATTTATATGCATAGAATTATTTATTTGAACATGTATAAACTCATTGAATGTTGATTATTTAGCTATGTATATTTTAAGTTCATTTGTGTTGTACACAAGATTCATTATTTGTAGAGCATAACTAGACTTATTTACCACAACCCATTTTCCTTTACTTATAAATCTAATATTCAGTACATTTAGATTCATTATTTGTATGAATGTATTTTGATGCATGATCTATACAGTTACATGGACCACGACCCACAATAAATTTTACTGTATATAACGACAAGTGTTCCCGCCTTTCAAAAAGTTTCTTTCTACAAAAAAATAAAATAAATAAATAAATAAAAAAATAAAAATTTAAGGTCGCTTCCTTAATTTTTTTTAAACCAATTGTTAAAATATATTTTCTAAAAAAGTTGCAAACAATTAATATTTATGTATGATTAAAAAAAATTTTGTTGTTTCCACCGCTACCGGTCGTTACTCCCTTATTTTTGCATTGTTGTTTCTCTTTGCTTTGTTTTACTGGCTTAATTTTGTTTGTAATTTCTGTGTTTATCATCTCGTGTTTTGACGAGTTTCTTCCTCTCGTTTACTTGTCAAGTTCTTTTTCATAAAACGTGAAACGATAAAACTGGTCATGGCATATTGAATCTCATCATGGTGACAAACATGACAATGAAAAAGAGACTCTTTTGAACTATGATATGCAGTTCAGCCCGATGAAGTTATTGTCAATGGATAGTAAAATGAAAATATTATTCAACTAGTATCAAGTCTTGGGTACGTTTGACTAAATCATTAATGAAATTTTAAATTCCTCCAAAGAATTCAGCTTCAAAGTTGTGAAATAGTTTGCAGATCAAGTTTTCTGTAGCATTGCTAGTGAGGATGTTTTTATGTCCGGCTGTAAGGAATGTTTGACCATTCCATCAATATTTATTGTAAACGTTTCAGCCTATGATTAATAAATTAGCTTCTTTATTTAAAAAAAAAAATTGTAAATGCAGATGTTTATATATTTTTATATTAAAAAATTTGTGCGTGATTGTTTAAAGATCTCAAATATATATATATATATATATATATATATATATATATATATATATATATATATATAGTATTACATTATAGTTAACACATAATTCTTTTTAATAATGGATCAACAAATGAAAAATCTTATTTTTTGAAAAGTATTTTAAAAATGTAATATTTAGGATTTTGAGTGAAAGTATAATATTTGTTGACTTATAAACAAGTATTTACTTGTCTCAAATGAGACAATAGCATTTGAGGGCTAAATATTTTTATGTGTAAAAAGAATTTAAGTTTTAATTTTTTGATTTATATAAATAAAATTAAAGAAAATATAAATTATACTGACATAACTTTCACATTACATTCGTGTATAGAAAGAAAAGTATACATTAATATAAACTGCAATAGCAAATAATTTACATATGAAAAGTTGTAATTGTGTTTTCTTGTTTGAGAGTTAATATACTTTTTTAAAAAATAATTTAATAGTGAAAACTGGTGTGCTAGTGGCTTTTCTTTTTTGTGTTTTTCTAATTCTCTCATTTCTGGATTTGGTGATACTTAGCTTACCAGCATTTAATTATTGTATTTATTTATTTCCTTCTCCTAACAGGGCGTTTGATTGGAGTGATTTTGAATTCCCTTCCCACTTAATTCCCACCTAATTCCAAAGGCCATTAAATTCCGTAGTTTGGTTGGAGGGAATTGCAATTCCTCCATTTTCATGAAATTAAAATCCCATGTCTCCCCTGGGATTTTAATTCTTGGGAAAAAAAGATAGTGATGAGTCAAAATTACCCTTTCATTTTTTAACCTAAAATTAATGTCTAATAACAATAATGGACATTTTTGACTTTATACTACTTATTCCCTTTCAATTCCCATGTATACCAAACATTGGAATTGAAATTCCCAGTAATTTTATTCCTGTCAACCAAACACTGGAATTTAAATTCCCAATAATTCAACTCCCATGGAATTACAATTCCTTTCCCACATAATTCCTCCCCTCCAACCAAACGGCCTGTAAAAGGTTGAATCCCAATCACGAGGACCCCCACACCCCAATTCGATAGAGCATTTGAGAGAATGTAAATCACAGTGATTTAATGACTCAGCAAACATGATCAAATACTTATGCGCACAAGAGTTCTACTCACTTTAAACATAATCTTAACATTGTTGCCGCCGAAGTTCAAACCTTAATATCTTCCTACAAATACTGACTACTGAACTATTGAGATAAATCCGAACTTCTATTTATTTATTTAACAATAACAATAGTTGTGGAAGCGCCAAGCACCTTGTGCACAGATGACATTCGAGTTGGATTCTCATATGAAAAGTTGTTAATTCGAGCTCCAGTGGAAGTGTTATTGACTCTTTGTGCTTTAGTACTTTGAGAAAGTAGTTATGAACAGATACTACACAAATAAAAAGAAAAAAAGTTGTAGAAGCGGTAGATGATCTGGCGAGCGACACGACGAGGGGGAGGGTTGATGGTGAGGGGTCCCCACGAGGGAATTAAAGAGCTGTTATAGGAGGATAGCATTAAATTTAGTTCGATAAATAGATTGTATCGCCAAAATTAAATTTTTTTATTTAAAAAATAAAATCCGAGAGGACCGGAATGTATGGACTGTGGAGCACGTGAGAGGTGGCAAATGGCAATGGCCCACAAGACGACTGAATTTCCGATAGTCTCACCGCATACCACATCGAAATTCCCCACGCTCTTTCACCATTTTGCTGTCACGCTCCCCTGTCCCCTACTATTAACTCAAAAATGATGGATATTTATGCTTTGCATGGTGCATACAGATGTCAAAACGACATCGTTTTATTAAAAAACGCGCGTCTTTCCTTTAAAGAAAATTCAGGTTTGATTCCCAGCAATAACATTATATTGTTCATTCATTCTGGAATTTTAGTTTATAGATTATGGAATTATAGTTCATTGATTATGGAATTATAGTTCATCGATTATGGAATTGTAGTTCATCGATTCTGAAATTTTAGTTTATAGATTATGGAATTTTAGTTCATTCATTTTGGAATTTTTAGTTCATAGATTAAATTATGGAATTATAGTTCATCGATTATGGAATTATAGTTCACCGATTATGGAATTTTAGTTCATATGTTGTTGCTTGGAATCGAACCTGATTTTTTTTTTTTTTAAGAGGAGACGCGCGTTTTATTAAAACGACGTCGTTTTTGCATCCGTATGCACCATGCATGGTGCATACGGATGCACGGCATAATTTGCCAAAAATGATACTCAATCGGTCATATTTTATCTGTCTTATTTATTATTCATCACTCACATTAATTATTTTTTTCATTGTTTACTTTTTTTTAAGAAATTTTAATTATTTTTAATTTGATCTTTTGTGTTCAAAAATATTTTTATTGTAATTTTTAAGTATATAAATTTTATATACTAATACTAAACTTAATATTATAAAAAATTAAATTAAAAATAATTTCAGTCAATCATCTTTAATTGAACCAACAAACAAAATGGAATGGATGAAATATATATGGCTATCCTTAATTCCTTATCCCTGAAATGATACTACTAGAAAGATTATATGGCTTTTGTGTCAAATATATATTTTTTAATTTAATTTTGTTACTTACATGTCTAGCAAATTTTCTATTTTAGAAAGCTTGCTAAAGGACAATGAAAGCTATCAAATGGCAACTTTACATTTTTCAAAAGTATTATATTTTTTTTATAAGTAACAAACACTTTATTATTGATCAATATTATATTTTTTCAACTACATTTTCATATTGATCCGACCCATATCTCGGCCGAGGAGGGTGACTCCCATATTAATTAACAACTATGAATATTCCGTATTTGTTATAGTATATGCAGTAAAAATGTGTCTCCTTTGACCCTGGGAGTATTGTACAAAACGTTGGCCGAATAGAGTATCGACAAAAGCGAGGCTGTTACTTAAAAGTAGTTATACAGAGCTTTTCAGAGTTTCCCTCCCAATAAACGCTGAAACAGAGGGGGAGACAGGCGGCGTTAATTACCACGACAATGCCGATCGCCGCCAACGCCGCCGCCGTTAACTTCCTTTCCGCACCGCGCTTTCTCGCCGCACCTCCCCCAATCCCCATCCACTTCCGCACCTCCTTTTCCACCATTAGTTCACTCTCCGTTCGGCCGCATTGTCTCGTACGCTCTTCAAACTCATCGCCCACCTCTAACCGTGGCGTCTTTTTACAGCTTTCAGTTGCGGGAGGCGACGGAGGTAACTGCAACGGCGGATGGAGCGGTGGACACGGAGGCGGCGGAGGAAACGATGATGATGATGGCGAAAACAGTAATAGCGGGGAGAATAAAAAGGAGACGTTAATGGCGTTGGGGGAGGCTGGGAGGTCATTAGAGAGCTTGCCTAAGGACTTGAAGGCGGCGATCAAGGACGGGAGGATACCCGCTTCTATAGTGCAGAGGTATTTGGAGCTCCAGAAATCAAAGTGGATGTCTTGGTTGCTCCGCCATGGAGGTTTCAAAGAGCGGCTCTTGGCCGATGATCTCTTCCTCACTAAAGTCTTTATTGAATGCGGCGTTGGTCTCTTCACCAAGGTAATAGACTAACATCACTTATGTGTCAAAAGCATGGTGCTGGATTTGTCCTTTACCAGTTTCCGTCAAATAATTTCTTAGTCATAGCTCTAATCTCTGATTAGAGCGGTAGAAATGGATTGACGGGGTGGGGTCTGTCTGGGCCCGTCATATTGCGGGGTGAATTATAAAGCCCGTCAAAATACGGGCTTAAAATAGGCCGACTCGCCCCGGCTCGCAGACCTTGGTGGAGGCTATCAAGCCTGCCGACCCGCCAAAGCCCATCATTTTGGTGGGGCGGGCTAAAAGCCCGTCAAAATACGGGTCATAAAATTCAAAGCCCACCCCGACCAATTGTTATATCCTACACCACGGCGCGTGTAGCACTGTGCGCCGCGCGCCTCCCAAAACGACGTCGTTTTGGGAGGCGCAGTAGGAAGTTGCTGTGATTATGTATATTTGTTCATACAATTATGTATATTTTTTATTATGTACATTTTTTATACAATTATGTACATTTTTTTTATACAATTATGTATATCCGAATCAGGAAATTTTTGTGTATTATGTTAAGAGTTGATGTGTATTATGTTAAAAGATTATGTTTATTATGTATTATATTAGATTATGTGTATTATCTTTTAAAAAACAGTATGTATATTTTGTAATACAACTATGTACATTCATGTATAACATTATGTACATTTTTGAACATGAGTTTTTTTTAAGGAAAATTAACCGCCAAACACTGGGTAGCGAAATTTCAAAAAAAATAAAATAATCTGGAAAGACGTCGTTTTGCATCTGGGTGCACAATGCAACACGCGCCGTGGTGCAGGATATAAATTGCCCACCCCGACCTTTTAGAGGAGCAGGACGGACTAGCTTGATGAGCTAAGCCCGTTTTGACGGCTCTAGCTTTGATACCACTTGTTAATTTAATCAAGTGCTTACCTTTAAGCAAAAAATTATAGTTAGTAGCAAAGACAATGCAACTTTATTTTCTTATATGGTCACAGATTTTCAAGAGTCAAGGTGTTAACTTGGCCTTTACCCGCCTCCACCAAACAAGTCTCACATTAAAAATGAAAATATAAGAGAATATATGAATTTATAAGGCTATGGGTTAAATTGCTAATTTATTGAATTCAATCATTTGTGCAGACTGCTGCTGAGTTTCAACGTCGCGGGGAAAACTTTTTTAATGAGTTAGACGTGGTTTTTGCAGATGTGGTATGAATACCATTAATAAGCATCGCATTTCTGTGAATCGAATTGAAGATTCTAACTTTTGCAGTAATTTAGAACATAATCTCGTAATTCTCACCCTTTCTGCATTATCCCATTATTTCGTGTTCGTAGGTAATGGCAATTGTTGCAGATTTTATGCTTGTTTATCTTCCAGCTCCCACTGTTCCTCTTCGCCCACCTATCCAACTCAATGCTGGGCGTATTGCTAAGTTCTTTCACAGCTGTCCAGACAATGCTTTTCAGGTTAAAAAACACCAAATTTTCCATTACTTACTAGTTTCTAGTGTACGTTATAGCAAAGTTTTTAAGAAAATGATCTGAGAACTGAGAAGTAATAATCTGATCCTCTATATGTTTGCATTGTAGGTTGCTCTTGGAGGAACATCGTTCTCTTTGCTGCAGAGGTTAGGCGCAATAGCGGTAAGAATTGAAGCATCTATAGTCATAGTTCATTCTTAATCTGATGTACAAAGTTTGGAGAGTTGCAGTTGATGCTAATTAATCTCGATCTGGATAATTAACTTTCAGAGGAATGGTTCAAAGCTCTTTGTTGTTGGCACGGCGTCCTCTCTGGTAATATACAATGTTATTTTTCTTTTAGTGTTAGGAAAACACGCATTTAACAAGTGCACATACCTAAGCAGTTCAAATAAAAAAAGTCAATAAATTGTAATCTTATATGATTATCAAGTTAACAGTGTCACTAACTTGGCTGGGTTGCGGAATCCCAGGTTGGCACAGTGGTGACGAATGCATTCATAAATGCACGCAGGGCAGTTGACAAGTCAGGTGCAGAGGAAGTAGAGAATAATAATAATAATAATGTGCCCATTTTATCAACTGCAGCTGCGTATGGTGTCTATATGTCAATTTCTAGCAACCTGCGGTAACATATATATATATATATATAACCTTATTAGTCTGATTATCAATTTAAATTTTTAGCTGAGACATCCATCTTAAACTAATGTAATGTACTGTGTGTAACGTTATTAGGTATCAAGTATTGGCGGGTGTGATAGAGCAGCGGATTTTGGAGCCATTGCTGCACCAACACAAGTCAGTACTGAGCGCAGTTTGCTTCGCTGTTCGGACAGGAAACACCTTCATGGGCTCATTATTGTAAGCTAAGATTTGTAACCCTCAGCTCCATTTCTTACACAAATTAAATCAGTTGATGATGAGAACTAAAAAAGGTTGTTTCACGTGCAGGTGGGTTGATTATGCACGCTGGATAGGACTCCAGAAGAGTGAAGAAATCCAGGCTACTACATGATGATGACAAGTTTGCATGGCTTTAATTTTCAAGAAACCAGCAGGGAGAATCAGTACTGCTTCCATTCTTCGGATTTAATGAAGATAGAGTTAAATTGTAAAAATAAAATATATATGCAGATTGAATGAGATGAATGACTTTTCGATTCCATCATCATTCCATACTGAGAGCATATGATTTTAATTTGATTCCATTTATATTATATTCTGTATGCCTTTCAAAAGACAGAATGCATGTATCATAGGAGACAACTAACTAAGCAATAACCTCATCTCATCTGTCGCACATTCTCTATATTTCTCCTGTTTATTTTCAAATAATTACTCACTTGGCTTTCTCAATCGTAAACACCAATCATTATTGTATGGACCATGGTCCACACAACTTGTGTGGACCATATTTTGTCTACTGTAAAATAATGTACATTCAGTACAAAAATAATGTACATTGTATTCAGAAGATGTACATTATTTTTGTTCTGAGTATACATTATATTATATAATGTACATTCACTACAAAAATAATATACATTTAGTATATTAAAAATGTACTTTTTCTTATGGTCCACATAACATTGTGTGGACCATGGTCCATACAATAATTTGCCCGTAAACACACGGTCGAGCTCGTTTAATCCGTTTTAATTTTTAGTCGGGTTAGATTGGAGGTTTATCTAACGCGGGCCATCCGGACCTGGCCCGTATAACCCGTGAGGGTATCCGGATTGGCCCATGTAAGTACCCCCAAATTTATATTTGTATTAGTATTTAAAAATGTTGTTGATTATTATGATCAAAACTCATAACTTTTCAAGTTTCAATCAATCAAGTATTATTAAAACTAACTAAAGACACTTGTTGAATATTTGTACGGGCCGTCTCCTACGCCTTGCGAGCTGCCTAGCCTACTCTGCGAGCCAATTTTTTTTTTTTTTTTCAATGCACGCTGGGCTATGTCCATTACCCTGTAGGCCTAGGTGAAGATTCGCACGCCGGGCTGTGTACCATACCCTGCAGGCATTGCAAGCGCCATACGAGGTGTGGGCCACCTACCCTGCTCTACAGACTTTGTTGTTGTTGTTGTTGTTGTTGTTGTTGTTGTTTCACGCTGGGCTACGTATTTTGTCCTGCAGACCTAGGAGAAAATTCGCACGCCGGACTGCGTACCTTACCTTGCAGACCCAAGTGAAGATGTGTACGTGCCACCTCCTACGCCTTGCAGGCTGCCTACCCTACCGTGCAGCCCGATACTTTCTTTCCTTCGATCCTTTTTTTTTTCCTCTCCTAGGCGCCTACCCTGCATGCAGGCCCAACCGTAATTTTTTTTTTTTTCTTCTCTTGGGACGCCTACCCTGCGTTGCGGCCCCAACACTAAAAATGAAAGGGGGCGAAGAGTAGTAAGAAAATAATAAAAAGTGTTCTTTTTATTTCCTTCTAAAGCTTCCTACGAATCCAATCACAATTTTTTTCTCTAGGCCGCCAATCGTGCCACTACAAGAAAAATGCACATAGACAACGATTTTTCACCGTTGTCGTAGCGGTAAAATTTCTGTTGTTGAAGCCAGTGTTGTTGTAAGTCCCGCGTATAGACAACAGTTTTTAACCATTGTCTTTTTTAGAAACAACAATGGTTTATGAATCGTTGTCTATTAAGTGTTGTTGAAACTGGTGTTGTTAAAAGTCAAGCACATAGACAACGATTGGTGCTCAACCTATTTTGTAACCGTTGTTTTTGTAGTGTTCTTAAATACAACACACAAACAACAACGGTTAAATAAAAATCGTTGTCTTTATAAAATAATAATGCGCAAAGGCAACGGTTTTATAAAGCCGTTGTCTTTTTAGTGTTGTGTATTCAAGTACGCTTAAAGACAACATACCAAAGACAACGGTTAAATAAAACTGTTGTCTTAAAAAAAATAAAGAATGTGCAACGACAACGGTTGTATAAAATCGTTGTCTTTGTAGTGTTGTGTATTCAAGTGCTATTAAAGACAACACACAATTGACAATGATCAAATAAAATCGTGGTCTTTTAAAAAAAAAAAATAATGCGCAAAGACAACGGTTTAAAAAAACCGTTGTCTTTGTAGTGTTGTTTATTCAAGTACACTTAAAGACAACATATCAAAGACAACGGTTAAATAAAACCGTTGTCTTAAAAAACGCATATAGACAACGGTTTAAAAAAAAAACCGTTGTCGTTGTGGTGTTGTCATTTCTCAAAATGCACAAAGACAACACACTTATAACAACGGTTAAGTAAAAATTGTTGTCTTTGACAAAAGTGTTGCGTCAAAGACAACGGTTTTGGACCAAACTGTTGTCTTTTATACAAAAGACAACACTTTTGTTAAAAAATGTTGTCTTTCTAGTATTGTCTATGTGCATTTTTCTTGTAGTGTGCTTTCTGAGCCCAAGGTACAAAATGAACCTGAAAAATGTTTTATTATCTCCTTGGGGTACCTACCTAGTCTGCGAGCCCATTTGGGTGTTATTGTTTATTGTAACATCTCTTGTCTAGATTGCGGAGCCTCCAACTCGCATCAGGACCACTTATCATGTCTACAGGCCCACTACCGCGTCCATTTTTATGTTTTGGTAGTTTGCTTAGCCTGCAAGCCCAACCAGAAATATATGTTAATATTTTTCAAATGTAGATAATGTCTTTCCTTACTTCCCCGTCCTGCAGCTTGCAAGCCCACCAAGGTGCTGTTATCCGATTCAGAGCTGCGTACCCAGCTTGTGGGCCCTTAATGGTTGGGGTACAATCGATACTCTCATCGATGAGCTCATTGTGAAAAGGGTTCGGGCTCCCTCCATGACTTGTTCCCTCATTTCGGCACTAGTTGCGGCCTCAAACACCTTGCACTGGGAACCAGCCCCTCTTTGGCAGTGCCATCCTCCCAGCTCGTTGTGTGTTGAGTCGAATAAGAGGATGATCTCATTGAGTGTTTGGGTCAGCGATCGGCTATCGGGCTGCACATCACCCTATTGCTGCCTAGCCCATTCACCAATGACGTTCGTTGTCTATTGTGCTAAGTGTTGAATGCTATGTCTGACCTCCAGGTGACCTTAGTTGGTTCTTCCAACGATAATTTCTCTTTTGATGGCTATAGTGCTAGTTGGACCTCTCACGTGTTATGGGTAAAGAACCGACCCTCGTGAACTGAACCGACCCCTACTTTGTTGGCTAAGGCGTTCTTGTGGGTCTGGGAGCATTGTTTTGTGACTCGGTCATTTCATCATATCTTATCTTTGATTGCGTAAAGGGAAAGGGTAAAACGGGTATAAACTATGAATGCGTTCTTTTCGTAGCGATCCCCACAGACGGCGGCAATGATGGTTTTATCGTGATCGGATCCACCATAAACGGGTATAGATGTACATAACGAGGGGTAGGAAAATATAGTTTTATTGCTCAGGGCGCTAGGTCCAAAAGAGTACATACAAAGCTTGAGATCACTGTCCCAAAACGGCAAGCGAAATAAATAAATAATACTCCCTCCGTCCCGAATTATGTGTCTTACTTTGCATTTACACGGATTTTTAGGAAGCAATGAAAAGAATACTAGTTTTCCTATTTTACCCCCAACATGCCATGTGATGATTTGACCCTTCTATCACTTTATACTCAAATCACTTGTACTACATAGTACAAAGTACAATAAATTAACTCAAAAGTATGAAATGCACATAAGGGCAAAATTGGAAAAATAGAATGATAGTAGTGTTTAATTTAGGAAAGTGGACAACATTTTGGGACAAACTAAAAAGGAAAGTAAGACAGGTAAAATGGGACGGAGGGAGTACTAGCTATAGTCCAAATAGTGGACTAGAAATAATAATGTTGTTGCTATGAATCAAACCCTGGGTATAGGTTGAAGGTTAGGATCACAAGCCACTAGACCAGGGGAAACTTAGTGAACAAAATGATGTTTTTAAAGGAGCGGCAAGAGTGCTTTATATATAGTGTTGAAGATCTTTAAGATGTTTGACAACTGTAGAACATCGGCTAGTCTTTATTCTTGGTCACACATTTGTTCCCCCCTCCCCCTCCCATTCCCACTACTTTGCTTCCAGCGCAATTCCCATACATAAGTGGAGCTTCATGTCATCCTATATACAAGATAAGTAGTGACTTGGTGGATTGGGGCGTGTGTTGTCTTGTGGAGGTCGCGAGTTTGATATCCCCTGGCAAAACCTCTAATTCTTAGCTTATTTTGCTCCAGGCTTCATTCTTTCCTTAACCCAATATTTTTATTGGGCCAACACACCATCAATAAATATGGACACCCCGCTTGAGCTAAGACTTTCCCAATAAAATGGATAGCGAGGTCCCATAGCCCCATCATACACAATGCAATTTCCCTACATATTATCTTAGAGGTAGTACGTGAGTTAGGTTATAATACTTTAAATTGTGCTCATAATGGATTTAGGCTTTTCTCCTAATACAAGAACTGCCTCGCAGATTAGGGATTTCACGAACTGCGTTAAAAGCTTTTGTACAAGAATTACTATTCTAAAACGATCCTCACAAAATTTCACCTATCTTTAATTTATTGCAATATAATAATCATTTTAATGTTAGAAAAATACATTTGACATTTATTTTCATGCAATAGGTTTATCTTTGATAGTAACTAAAAATATTACTCATTGTGTTCCATTTTATCTGTTATACTTATTATTCATTGGTCAAACCAATTCTTTTATTTTTTTTATTTATTTTCTTTAGTATTTCTTACTTATTTTTAAATTTGATTTTTTGTGTTTAATAGTAATTTTAGTATAGTTTCTAAATATATAAATTTTGTATACTAATACTAAATTTAATATTATGAAAAATTGAATTAAAAATAACTTCAGTCAAGCTTCGTTAATTGAACCAGACACATAAAATGGTACGAAGGGAGTACATCATACACAACATGAACTCGTAGCAACATTATATTTCACGACCAATCATGTCTAGCTAGCGTCTATGCTTTCCAATTTTCCATTAGCCGAGCCAAAACATAATTAATTAATCACTTGGTGTAATTCTCATATATTTTGATGGTGAATCAAATAATTTTCTAAACACACCATTATTTATCCCATTATTTATGGTATATATATATATATATATATATATATATATATATATATATATATTGCAGTGATGATTGATGAAATAAGGCTATTTGAGAAGAAAATT